GTTTTCCTTGACGCCGCGCATCAAGACTCGCCGTTTTTTTCTTCAGGAGCGATTGGGTCGGCGCGATTCATGAGGTGGAGAACGTCTTCGACGAAGCTTGTGACGCTCTCGGTCAGCCCTTGGGTCCTCGCATGCAGAAGTTCTTCGGCACGCTGCCGTCGGTGCTGGTTGGCAAAGGTCCGTCGCAGCTCGGCCTGGAATTCTTCCCACGACGCAATGGACGCTTCGTGGTTCTTGAACCAGGTGCGTGCCGTGCCTTCCAGAGCAAAGTAGACGTTCTGAAGGCACTGCTCCGGTGTCCATCGGTTATGGCGGGCCACTCTTTCGTAACGTTGTAGCCAATCGTCAACGTCCTCGTGGATCTCCCCGGTGAAAGACGTCGGAGTCCGGGGTGCGACAGGCAAGTATACGACGGCAGAAGCGGCCGGGATCTCCGACTGGTTGGCCATCGCCGTCTTCTTGGGCCTCGGCTTGTCCGACAGCAGACCGTACTCAGGATCCTCTCCCTTAATGCGGCGGCTGGTCCGAGGTACAGGTTCCGCGGTGAGTGGTCTTCTCACCAAGCCGGGAATCGGACTTGCGCTGCGGGCCCTTGGAGGGGAACGCTGCACGGGCATGCGGTACCCAGCACCTCCACCAAAATGTCACGGGTGGTGACCAATAAACAAGAAATAAACAGGACGAAGTAAAGGTTTAATGTGGCGAAGTTGTGCCAAAAATAAAAGGGTACAAAAGATAATAACAGAGCGTCGCGGGCGTCGAGGTCGGCGTAGCAGCAGAGTCGAACGCTGGGACGAGGCTGACTCCTGCTTGCCAGGCGGAGCCGCTTTTGTACACGCGTTGGCTTCTGGAGTATTCGATGTAGAAGGGTCGACGCGTAGAACATTCTAACCTCGAATCAGCTAGACGGTTCTCGAATTCACCAGAACATCACATTACAGTGTAAACAAAAATGCGTAGCCGCGGCCAGGAATCGAACCCTGGCCAATCGCGTGGGAGGCAAGCGCGATAACCGTATTGCTACGGCCGCGCTGCCTACTTGGCGCGCGGCATTATTCCTAATTACATATAAAAAGCGCGAACGACAAACGAATATTCTGATTATAATATTATAAATCACATTTGGGCATGAGCTTGCATAAACTCAAAACTTCGCAAAATACGGCCTCTGGGCGCAAATGTATTATTCGGTTTAACGTGCAATCTATTTCCGGCCTCAATTTACAACTCTGTGCTTTATCAGTCATGCGCGCCCTAACATTTTATTAGGCTGGCGAATATCATCGCGGGACTCATATATACTGTAACTTTACAAATTTAACATCCACTTTTGCTTGTATTGCAAGCATCAAATTTAACCAAAGAACTGAACTGTTTGACATGGTTTGCACGGGACTTCATGTGACTATATGCTAGTGGTTATTTTGACTTGTTCTTGCTGAGAAAATCAAATTCGGCGTTGCAAAGTTCACGCTACAGAAGGATGGCGTCCAATGCAACGCATGCATTTGTGAGAGACAAATTATCCTTGCTTGGCACAGCGTCGTGAGGAAAGGCGCAAACGTCGGGCAGCACGAAAACCCTCTTTCTGGACGGAGTATTTTTGCAACGAAAGTTTCCGGGTCTACGCTTTCCGGTTTGTGCCAAAGATGCGGGGCAGAGGAACCTCCGTAACACAGTACGCTTTGCTTTAACACACACACACACACACACACACACACACACACACACACACACACACACACACAAACACACACACACACACACACACACACACACGCGCACACACACACACACACACACACACAAACACACACACACACACACACAAACACACACACACACACACACAAACACACACACACACACACACACACACACACACACACAAACACACACACACACACACACACACACACACACACACACACACACGCACGCACGCACGCACGCACGCACGCACGCACGCACGCACGCACGCACGCATACACGCATTATTTTCTTGTTGCATCTTTATATAATATTTTTATTCCTGAAAGACGGCCTCGTCACTTTGGGAGTGCTATTTGGCAATCATATTTGTGGCCCTTAATTGCTTTTATTTTGCGCTCAAAAACTGTCAAGTTTGAAGAAACTACGGAGGCGGTAGGAGCTTGGGGAATAATTTTAGAATGAAATTCGCTGTGAGACCACGAGCGGTTGCCAACGTTCGTCTGTCCTCCGAGGCCACTAGCAACTTTATTTGGGTCCTTGTACGCCTTTGTGGTTGTATGTAACGTCGGATTAACAAAACAGGTTGAGTCATTTCAATGCTTTAATGTTCATGCTCAACTTTCTGAACCAGTTTAGCAATAATGAAAACATGTTTGGGAGCCTCAAATATGTGTACAGGCAAAATAGGTCGTGCACAGTTCGTGCACTTTTACTAAATACCGCTAAGCACTAATCTTTGACGTTGGTAACTTCCGAAAACGCGCATTAGTTTTTTCTCCGCGCAATGGCAAACGCAGAAAAATAAAGGCAAGAAACAGTTTTCCCTTCCTCAACTCGCAATCGGTAAGAGCGACCACACCATCTGACGATAGTCAGTGTTCATCATAGCCATGCGCTGGGGTTGACAAAGTATAGCGCTTGAGCTGAGCTTCATACAGGCTATTCTCATTTTAGATTGAACACGAGCCATGACCCAAGTGTTTGGCGATATTGATTGTTACGAGCCCGAGCACTCGACACGGGCTCATGGTGATCAAGCGTGCGATGGTGCGCAGTCGTAATGTTATGTGACGTCACGGCGTCAAAAACGCTAACAAATCTAGCGACGTTCTCAATTTATATCGATTCGACGCAGTGAGTCACTTGACGACGTCACGTGACTACACGGGGTAACGTGATGTGACATTACTTGACTGCATGTCTTGACACTATGACGTCACGTGACCACGTAACAAATGATTAATCATAGTGCCAATGCGAAAGCACTACGAAAGCCCACGATTTCTCATATGCAATAGACTTATTACACAACTCGAATCGTCCCATCGCCGTGTAGTGCCACATTACGAATTCTCGGAATCAGTGGGAAGCAAAATCCATAGGTAGTGACTCTTTCAACATCCACTTTCAAGAGAATTTTCAGTATAATCTTTATGTCCATTGCGACACTTCCTGAAGACGTGAAAATATTTTCTAACTCATTCTAACGTCCATCGTCTAAATATTTGGTTGTCCTTATTTTGACATCTTAAAGTTAGAACTTTAAGGTTTTCAAGTTTTGGAGTTCAGACTGGAAGATGATCAAAAGTGGCCTTCAAAGAGTTATGATCTTGCTTGCAGGCGGCGTTACGGTTCAATGCGCACTTTCTGAAAACATATGTGCAGTCGTCCGCAGTTTTTATGACATTATAAGTAATCTGGAGTACAAAAAAAAATTCTCAAATTAAAACATTTGCTTTTAGGCCTCAGGGAACATTTGTTTGGTTGTGCCCAATGTTACAGAATGCGGCACCGTTCTTTTTCATGATTTATATTACACCTTTATATAGACAAAGGTGCTGAATCTCGTATCATAAAATCTCGTCTAAGACGCTTAAGATTTCTCGCGTGTAGGAAAGCGAAAGCATTCCTACAAGGCGTCGCATTCTTACAAGCAGGCTGCCACGTCTTCTTTTCGCACACGGCGCTCAGGCGGTAACACACGCTCCCCCACCGGGCAGGCGCGCCGAACCTCGCCGGCTTTACGACGGCTTCCGCGACGAAGCCTCTAAATTGCTGTACTCTTCTTTCTGTTTTATTTGTGAGGCGCGTACTCTTTGACCTTGAGCTGCCCCGCCGGCTACCGTAAAGAATCATATGCGTGGTTGTGCTTTTCTTTGTGTTTTATTTCCGAAGCGCGTGTTTAATGACGTAGCTTTCTGACCATTCTTCGGGGACAACGCCGACGGCTTTTTGCGTAATGGGAGAAGTAAGGCTCTCGCCTTCAAATGCAGTTGATTGGAAAATGCGTCTATCTCGTACAACCAAGCAGTATCCTTTGTTCGTTTGCACAGGTAAAATATATCAAGGAAGCAATGTTTGCATTCACAACTTTTGATTTAACACCTCGATCATTGCGTAGTTAACCAGCTCGTTATACACGAAACTGGTCGAAAACTAGGTGGGAGCCAGGTGCAAAGCGAGATTAGAACCATACGCACACCCGCTCGCACGATATGGAGACAAAAAAAGCGTACCAAATTTCTGTGTTACATAATTTAAGCACTTACATTTGTTACGTGCAGGCAAGACAGTGGGATAACCTGCTTGCCTTTGTTGTAGATTCAACATTTTAAGTGAAGCGCGTGCAGAAATGACGCGCAAGAGTTACTAATCTAAGATCATGTGTCCCAACGCGACATTAATTTCATGGCCCCTTTAATGGCCAAGGGGCCCCCAAGATGGTTTCTACGGCGTAGCGACGCTAGGGTCGCTTCAATTTTGCAAGAGGTCTTTCCCATTTAATTGATAACAATGTAAAGGCCAGAAAAAAGCTCGACTTTCAAAAACACGTGGGCGACAAATGTCATAAACGACTAAGACTGCAACGCGAGTGTTAGAAAATGTTCTTGTTAAGCCCTCTCAGGAGTCTGATTGTGGGTATTACGTAAAGCCTCAATGAGCACAATTAACGTGAACTTCAGGACTAAAATAATTTGAATGATGTGTGTGCGTATTTGATTGCCGGATTGCTGCCCATTTAGCATTGACACCCATATACGCCGATTTTTACAAGGCGAAATATACATTGATTTATCAGTCAAGATACACCTTAAACTAAAAGCCGAAACCGGAAGGCCACTTATACAAAAACATAAACATGTGAAAATGAGACAATAATGTTGCTGTGATTTTTTTTCTCACCTGTATTTCTATACCCCATTACGACAAGTTATTTTACCTTTCTACTTTTTGAGGCGTACGCATAGAAATAACTGTTTTAATACACAATTCTAATTCCTTTTTAGGTGATGATGATGCTACCTAAGACATACATTCTTCAATCTGCTTTTAATATGCCTACTTTCGACTGTGCACTTCAAGTTTTCTTCAATAGAAGTCTTTCCTTCAGAGGTCTTTCCAAGAGTTACACAATGTATAATTTAATAGATGTGTACAAAAACGGGCGATAGTAAGTATATATTGATTCTTATTAGGAAAAGTTTTGTCATTTGTGGCCAAAACAAATGTGATGTTAATGTGATTTGCTTTTTAGCCAGGGTAAAGCCTTGTATGTTAGAGATTTTCAGGACTATACGATCATACTGGACAATCGGCCTGGTGAGTTAAGGCATGCCTTGTAGTGCATCGAAGTGTTATGATTCCACGCGTGTTGTGAAAAAAAAATCCTTCATAGCTTTTTGGTTTGTTGTTCTTTACATTAGCGTTCGAATTGTTTTGCTTCTTTAGTGATACTGCAATGCGATAACGGCATATTATGCAAATAACAGGTCATCTTATGTCTATGCAGGAAAAACCAAAAAAATTGCAGTTTCAAAGTTTCTCTCTTAATTTCATAGCATTGCTCATTGTATTTTTTCTCTTTAAATTTATAGTTAAAAGTTTTTTTTTATTAAATTGGGCCGGTGCCTTTCAAAATTATGAGGGAGCTTTAACGTTCACACAAGTCCTGGTAGCACGGCTATCATTGGCTGATTGCCGGCTTTCCACTCCTTAGAGCCGCTTTAGAGTTCTATGACTGAAAAATATTTGATCCCCTTATTCACCTTAGAAGCTTCTGTTGTAACTATGGAAGTGTTTATGTTTTTTGAGATGAAACCTGAGAGATGACCTGGAGCTACAAAAGCCACGTTTGATCCGTAAACGTTAATTATAGAGCGGTTTTGTAAAATTAGAACTGGTTAGACTACCAGTTACCTGATTCATTAAATATTGCCCATTTTTTTAACAAATTATTCAGACCTAAAGTCGAATTTTTATGCATTGTCAAATATATCACATTTGACTATATCAAACTCAGCACCAAACATTCCATGACTACTAGATATCTTGTGTCTAACGTTAGCAATGACACAACAACAAACTTCTTTATACCGAAGTGTTTCACAAAATATGAAATACCTAGTACCACCTTGCTTTAAAAGTACAATAAGTTTAATGATCGAGAAACTATGTGATTTTTTTTAATCCGTAGCCTTATAAAAAGTTCGTACTTTCGGTATATAGCAATAAACGCCACAACCCCTAAGATGACATGTGTAAAAATCGGAGAACACTGAAAAAAAAACCCTCTTATTGGTACTGCTCTTAAATGAGAAAAATTCAAGTTTCACGAAAAGAGATATTTGACTACAGCTTTAATATTGTATTGACCTCAGCTGATTTTTGTTTCAAGGAGCCTATATTGTTTGATATTTGTATTGGTACAGGAAACTTTTTAAAAGATTTGAGCCCTGCGCGGATTTCCCGGGAATTGAAGGGGACCCTATTGCCGTGCCCTGCGTTTTTAAGTTATAAAAAGGGCCCTGTTTTTTCGGAACTTTTTTTTTTCTCACATTCTGCGATGTTTTTGTTTGTGCCCGATTCTGGTGTTTTTCGGAGCTTATTTGTGATATTACAAATAGACACCGACCCACAAATCGGGGTTTATTGGGGTTCATATAGTAAAACCGCAGGTATATCTGGCGCGCTTTAGAGAACAGGGCATTATATGCGATGCGTTAGGTATTACTAAATAAGGAATAAAGAATCAATGTCAAAAGAAACAAGCAGCGTCGCGGACAGTTCAGTGGGTTCGGTGCTTGGGTTGGACACGAAACAAGTTTTTTATAAACGTTTCCTGCAGTTAAACTGCGGTTTTTCTTCTTGAAAGCAAGGTTCAATTCGGTGTTTTCGGATCTGACAGATTTCGGGAAAAACATTCGAGGATTATTGTTTGGTGTTTACCGGCATACACCGAAAAGACGGAACCCTAGTTATAACCAATAATGAATTAAAAAAAAAATCCCGTCACCGCAAAAAGCCGATCTGTGAACACAAACTACACAAAACACACACCCATATTCAAAGACAAGCAACCCAAAGGAAATGCAACACGCTGCACATAATTGATTTACGTAAATATTTCAAGGTGAAACAATACATTTCACTCGTCATTTTTTAAAATAGTAATTATAAACTTGCCATTTAGATTTAGGAAACCGTGTATACATCTTTTTCTGTCCTTACTTCTATACTACATTAAAATTGAGTGCATCCCAAAGCGTATACAACGGATAAAATTCCTTTATTAAAAACCTGACCCATTATCTATAGCGACGCGTTTAGGCGTTGGCGTTTTTATTTCTGTAGAAAGCAATAAATGTAAATTAGCTTTGACGTACGTGCGCCGCGTTGCAGACGTTGGCTAATTTATTGATACCGTGGTTGTTTCACCTCATATTAGGGGGGGGGGGGGGGGGGGTTGAAATTGTGGCCGCCGCCGCTACGTTATCCGCTATCCAGCTCCAACCTCCACTACCTGTATGTACTGGAGCCGCGATTTTGTGTTTCATTAGAGCGTATGCAAACTGCAGAAATATATATATTGTCGCGAGAGTTAACGCAACAGCACTGGAAACTCTTTCGGGCACAATACCTTACGTAAATTGAAGGTGTGCACTGCTCTTGTTAGTAATCTTTTCTGAAGACGCGATCTCAATGCAATTTTTATTTTTTGAAGACTACAGCTTTCATTTTTAGCTCTTCTATATAAACATCATTTCCTACCTTAGCAATTCAATCTAACTGACCGCCAACTGGACTAAGCCGATCTGATCTAAGTCAAGATGTCAAGCCATGAAGAAAGAAAGTTTGGTAAAACCACAACCGCAGCTTCACTTGCGTTGTTCTGGTTGTGCACTTGTTTTTCCTTGCTGTGCAACGCCTTTCCGACTCTCAAATTCACTTGCATTGTCAGCAGCAAAAGCACTATCGCTAAGCGAGAAAATGCGTTGTGTACTTTGAACTACATATATTCTCGAAGCGAGCCTATTTTAATGGCTCTCCCTAATTCTGCGAACAATCGCTCTCGTGAGGCCAACATTTGAACAACGCACTCTGTTTCTCGCAATTTTACAAAATAGCACACATGCACTGGCTTCCGCAGCTCCGCAAATCCTACACCAGCAGCGGGCATGTGCAATAACAGCGCCGCTATTGCATATATTTGAGCTGGAGACCAAAACTGAAATACTATGACTTCAATTTAAGCCAACCCCTTCCATTGATTAGATTCCCTCATTCTTCTTTAAGAATTTATAAGGCTGCAAATTTTCTAGGTTCCCTCGCTTTCACGATAGATTATGATCCGCAAATGGAAGCTGCATGGCGCCTTCTCTTTTTTGTATTATTGCGTATGAGCACATAAAGATTACGAACACGTTTACTAAAAGAAAACCCCGCCGACTCAACTAAAGGCGATCCCACCATTGGCCGAGCCTACTTTTTTCGATGAACGGATAGATTTTCCTTTCGCCCAGAGAACTGGTCTGGGCTCAGTTTCTTCCACGCCCTGGACATAAGCAATATGAACATTTGAGGGGACCAACTGACGGGGATGGCAACGCCTCGATGAAAACGCCGAATTGCCTTTTTGACCTTAAAATAGATTGAAATGTTGAACATGCAGTGAGCAGGCTGAAAAATCGCGTAAAACTTCGTGGAGGTTCGACCTGACCTAGATCACTCGAATTTTCAAGTGGTGTCACCTGACAGCCACGCCGGTAAAATGGAGTACAGTGCAGCCTGCTCACTGGGCCCGTCGTACTGTAACAGGCTTGTGACCGATGGGCTGGTGTCGAACGTCTTCAAATTTAGGGCACCTTGCGGCTTGAACAAAAAGCCCTAGCGTGAGGTTCGCCTGCCAGCTTAGTTGAACGAATTAGGTATTCTCAATACCTGGCTTTCTTAAGACGCAGCCATGAAGTAGCTTCAATAACACGTAATGTAAATCGTCAGTTGGGAAGGATATATAAATGTTCGACGCGCTTTCCCTAGCTTGTTTTCCACAAGAAACGTTTACCGTGCACAAGGCCTCCGAACTGGCTTGTGTACGTGATCTGCCTAGACCGAGCATGGGGCATAGAATAGAAACGAGTGCTGTGTTTGCTGTCGACTCGGGCGTGTGCTTTAGGTGTAATGGCCTGGAGGAACACGAGCCCTAGCCTAAAACTCACGCATCTTCTGGCTAGGTCTGCTGAGCGCTGAATAAAGCGAAGATACAGCTCGTAAGTCGAGGAGATGACGGGAGGAAGCGCGATAAGAGGACATGATCAGGTGTGCGACGAAGCTCTGTCCCAGCACCTTCTCCTCGGTACGGAGCAGACGACATTTTGGCCGTGCGTTCCTCCTGCATTGTTGCGCGTCTGGGCGAAGCAACCTTCTAGATTTTTGCTTTCCTTTTTCTCAAGGGCTAAGTCGTCGTTAGCGAAGGAACGCTAGATTTCGCGCAATTCGTTGAAAGTGTGAAACAGCCATTGCTAGGCCTAACAGATGTCGTCGACGTTGGTTTCGAAACGCCTGATCTTGACGTTACTGCTGGTCCTGCGAGAGCAGCAGACTACGATTTTTCTTACTCTGATTGGAGATAGACAATGAGTAGAGATAAAGGCAGCTAACCTTTGCGTCTACTCACTTTCTTGCGAATCAGAACTCGGAGCCCTGATTTGCGCCCACTGCGCAAGATGTCTTCAGTGTCGTATAATTTATTTTGTATTTACTCAACGGTGCAGCGATTTAACCACTTGGGGTGCTTCGGTTGTATCGCCTCCCCAGTAAAGTGTTCGCGCCTTTACGCCGTCTCGTGAATACTTGTTGACATCTTTTTAACCACACCTCTACTTGTGGCGGGTTTTCATCCATGGAGCTCTGTTATTTAAGAGAAAGAGTAATTGGGATATTATGTAAGAGTTCAAATCATTCTGCATTTTTTTCTGCGGGTAAATGTATTTCATGTGAAAACAACATAAGGCTAGAGAAATGAAACTTTTGATATTCCCCAATTGTCTAATGTTTATTTTATGGTTAGTGCACTATATTTGCTGTTTTTATTGTCTACAAATTAGCCGTAGTTTATGTATTTTAATTATTTGCATTATGCTATTTATTCGTGAACAGAAATATATTTTCCGCCAAAGAGAAGTCTTCAAATTTTGTTTTCAAACAAAGAATCATGTATGGTAACAAAAAATCCGGAATCCCATTTTCCTGACAAAGGTAAGTACTAGGAACTAACATTAGCATATATTAAATGTTACATTGGATATAGCTTTGGCAATTGTTGAAAATGAGATCCCTCACACCCTCGATCGTAGAAATGTAGAATTGTTCACGTTGGACTTTATTTGTCCAATTTTGTATCCCCGAGAGAATGCCCCAGCCCTGCTTTCTTTTGTCAGAAATTATTCAGTCCCTTGAATTTTTTTCATATGTGCCCCAAGACTCCGGTAACCGGCTGAAAGTGTCCCTTCATATCTAGTTGGTTGTACGAGTCATACAACGTTTTCAAATATTTGGAGAAGTATCGTCAACGGATGATTCCCTGGCGTTCAAAAAAAATTTGGAGGATTAAACATTTTCACAGCGGAAGTAGGAGATTATGCAGTTAAAAAAACGTGAGTGAAGACGCCATATATAGTGTGCTCCAACCAGTCACATAATAGTGCTCCAACCAGCACAACGCAGTAACCACAAAAGGTGCGTAATATTGAATTATACACCCCCCCCCTTCCGCACGGCACGCGGTACATCTACCAGGCTACCGGGTCGTACACGCCAACCCTAACAAGGACCTGCTAGTCTCCACGTACCAAACTGGAACACCTGTAGCACACCAAACGGGAAAACCTTTCGTATTTCATTGGCCTCCTCTGAGAGTCTGACACACTCAAATGAGCCTTGGATACGCTTAATAAAGCAAGCTCAATCTCAGTCCGAAAAACAAAAAAAGCGACCCCGTCTCCACGCCATTATCCTTACCTGTTGCGCCTATGGAGATTGCGGAAACGTATCCTGAGACGTATCAGTCACCATCCCCTTAATCACCAACGTTGAGGAACGATTATAGAACCTAAACACGGACATCAGTACGCACTGCTACGTTTTAGATATCTCTAACTAGAAAAACATCTGTGATAAATAGTCAACGGTACGCTCCATCAAAACTTTGCAGGGATCTTATCACGACCCTGCTAGGTCCCCCCTCGCGTCACATACCCACAATTGCCAAATAACTCGCCTTCAGGGTTCCACGCAGCTGATCCAGACACTACGAGATTTGCACATCCGGAAACCACTTTTGGCAAAATATCCAGCCAATACAGACCTTGAAAAATTCTGAATTAGAAAGCAATTAAAGTCTCCGAGAAAATTAGTAGGGCACGGGAGGGCCAATCAAGAATAGTGGCTTCAACTTCTCACAGCGTGTTGCCGTTCCCAACACTCACGCTTTGCACACACGAAAGTAAATGCGTGCACTTCCTGTCATGTTCGCAGCCATGTTTGTTTTTCACTCGCCTCGGTCCGATGCCAACGAGATAAGAGGAACTGTCGCAAGGTGCTGCTAAATGTTTTCTGTTGAATGCGAGCTCTGACTCTCAACACGGTGGTTGAGGCACGCGCGCGGCATGACGGCTGACAAAGTGACACGTTTCCCCAGTCCCGGTTATCTCGTGACCGTCGGAGGAAAGCGAGTAAAAAAACACATGACTATGATCACGAAAGGAAGCGGATTCTCGAAGCGCGAATCTTGACTGCGGCCTTGCTCTGCCAAAAGGCACAACCAGTTATTTCTTATGGTGCTCCCGCGTCTCGCGTACTTTTGCTGCCAACCGTACCTTCACTCTTGCCTAAGTCATCTATATCTACCACTGAACAAAACAAAATAAGATCTTGAAGAGGATGGTGTTATATATGCGTCACTCCGCAACCTCGGGGCTGAAATGGGACAACTTCTAACTTTCCTCGATATACACGGCTCGGAGGGCAGCTCACCAGAAGAATGGACATCCCCTATTATCACCTTAATACCTAAACCGGGCAACACCTCCCCACCCCCCCCCCCCCCACCCCCCTCACTCAGCAACCTTTGCCCAATTTCCCTTACCTCTTGAGTGGGACAATCGATGGAGCGGATGGTTCTAGACCGCTACCTGAAAGCCGTCTCGTTTTTTTACAGCGAAGCTCTATATGACTGCTTGGTCGGGTTTTTTCTTGTACGTCGGCAGAAAACCATCCCGCACGCCTTAGCATTTATCAAGGGGTTTCGACACTTGTTTTAACAAGAAAACAACACACAAGTGTCACAGCCACATGATAGATGATAAGGCGCGAGCGATCAATGCGAAGCACCTAGCCCTCCCTGTATTCGTTTCTCGGTAATGATTGCGGTTGCATAGACTGCCCCGGCAACGGCAGAGTCCGAAGTGGGGAGTGACGTCACAAGGCCCGCTAACAATGCGAAGCACGTAGCGCTCCCCGTATGCGTTTCGCGGTGAAGATTGTGGTTGCATAAACTGCCACGGAAACGGAAGTATGCGATGTATTTCAGATATAAAAAAGGTTTTGGTACAGTGCATTTACTTTCCTTTCGTCAATCATTTGGAATAGACCCTCTTGCTGTTTAGGAACATAAACGACCGCTTCCGTCCCAAGCGGCTTCCGGTCGCACAATCTTTGCAAGCCTGTTGAGCTTGCTTATGTCACCAGTGCTAGAAAGCACAAATGCAAGACGGCCATCAAGACTAGAGATTTAACGAGGGCCTTTGCCTGTACAATATTACATTTTGGAGGAGGCAAGTTTGTTTACATGAATTCTGGAAACATCTTAACATATCTCACACTCCGTTTTTTGGCGTTCACCTGGAGAATGGGCGGTTGAACGTTTCATCTATATTTCAAGCAGCAGTGTTTAGATGGCGTTAGTTCATTATTTTTAATACTGGAAGTTCTTTTTGGAAATCAAAAACTGGAGCCCCGCTTTGTTGCGTTTGCACAGAAAAAGGGTCTATAGTGCTGTGGACAATCGTCGCAGGTGATGCCACAGCTGTGCTGTTCAACCACATACGCGGTGTGGATTGGAGCCCAAACTACTTGTTTGCATACTCAAGTCAGATTCTCCTCCAAGTATTTACTCAAAACCTCTTTCTCCTCCTTCAGCATACCTTCCAGCGCCACCCTCCGCTCAAGTGTCGTGATTGGCGTTCCTGAAGCAATCGATTATGTCGGCCAAGATCACTTACTCAGCTCAGTTCGGGAAGCAAGCTGCGGAATCAGATTATGCACATACATCCTCAACTTCCTCGAAAATCGGATAGGCTGCTTTCGTATAGCTGATGAAACGTCCGCATCAATCAAAGTCACACGCAGCACCCCCCAAGGGCGGCGCTTTGCCCAACCCGTATAAATTGGTATGGCCCAGCTGGCCCGTCGCCTCCAACAAATCCCTGTCTGTCACTCCTCTTCGACGCGGACGACCTCGCCCTTCGGTGCACACACGAGTCTCCTTGGGAAGTGGAGTCAACTCCGCAGCAGAGGCTGGACATCATACGTGAATACTTCGCACAAGCAGGCCTTCAGGCTGCCCCAGAAAATTCAGAACTGCTTCCGATTTCACATACACGGTATTATCACTCTGTTAATCATCACATATTTCTACACGTCAGCCAACAACGCATTTCAAGAGTCTTTTTATGTAAACTCATGTAAAATTCTAGGCACACATTTACAGGAGAGTATACACTCAATGCCAACGCCAGTTCAGCCATAAAAAACATGCCACTGGGTTAGTTGCGTGGTACGGAGAGTGGTCAAGGAGCACGCGGTTTTTCATAAACAAAAACAGGCCAGCTAACTAGTTTATGTGCACGAATCAGAGCGCGTTGGTTAAATCAATGTTCACACAGAAAGAATAAAACACTGAAATTGAAGCAGGAGAGGCAATCGCAGAAAGGATTGAAAGAACTTTAGTGTTTGTCCTTCGTCCATTTCGCCGTTTTATTATTTCCGTGCAACTTATACAACGCCTCCCTGAACCTTTATATATATTACTCCATCATGAAACTCTACGGCACGGGACTACTTATCTCCCTTGAGACGAACTTAGCTTTGTGCCGCACAAGGCAGCCTTTAACAATGCCGCCCCACTTCCTCGGTCCCCAACCCCCTCCCCACGGTCATTAACCATGGGGAGCAAGGGGGGGGGGGGGAGTACCTAGGTATGGAGTAAACATATTCGAAAGTAGCTAGATTTGGAGTTAGAAGTCCCAAAACAACTAAATTCAGAGATAGATTTAAAAAAAAATTCCAATTCATTTGGGGGTGGCCACAAAATGGCCATCCCCAACATTCTGCCACCATGGGCACCACCCCTGCCGTCACCGCTCTTGTGCACCTACATCGGGATCGACAAATGGCCCGCGTCTCGGGAACACCGCAGGGTAGACGGATCCGGGTGCAGCCAGGACTCTAACTTATTAACCTTCCCTTGCATATCTACCCAGCCCTTAGCCTCAAACCTGCACTTTGCCCCTGTACTTCGCCTGTTGTCCCCGCACATAGACGACGAACGAATAAGATTGCAATCTATGCACCGATTCATCCTTTCGCACACTATTCATGGCTTTTGCAATGGCGTCCGTCTGAGGGACAGGAGCCACAAGAACAGCGGCATACGCAATCTACACAGAACAATCTCATCCAAGTTCACACCAGCGGTCCATATAGCAGGCCCTACAGTGTCATGCCACTAAAATTAATTACCATTCTACATGCTATCCAAGATGTTATCCAAGCTTTTTTCCGACTGCCTCGGACATCAGAATACATAACCTATACGTATTCACAGGCTGCCATTCACGAATTGCAGCAATGAAAAATCTCTCCAGATCTCCGAGCAGACATCGAGGTGGCTCTAAACACACTTCATCCATCCTCGGTCACCATTCGGTTTGTCTCAGTTCATGCAGGGATTGGAGGTAATGAGCTGGTGCATGAACACGCCAGTGAAATGCATATCCGGGCTCGCGTAATCCCCTGGCCTAGCCCCCTCCCCCCCACCCCCCGGCGATGAGGCTTTTACCTACAAAAGCGCAATAAAATATCATTACAAGCATATTGTAACTTTCAGCAACGCCTACATCGACCCCACCCTAACCTCGATGTGACGAAAACCGACATCCTTAGAAAGATCCAAATACCCTTCTAACTCCTGCTAGGCTCTACCACTCTCGGTGTCGTTAAGATCTCTGCTGCCATAACTGCCCCTTCCTATACGTCTATGTAGAGCATTGCGCTCTACACTGCCAGGTTGCAATATTTATCCAATCCTGCCTAACCCCCTCCCACTTCCTGGAGTTCCTCTCTATCATCGGAGAAACTTCAAGGTCAAACGGCCTTAGCATGCCAAGTCACAGACATTGTGAACACTTAATTTCTGTTGTTTAGCAAAGTGCCTTCTCTCACTCCCTCTCTTGGCCGCCAGCATCTTAAAGGCCAAGTGTGCTCAAGCCTTTTGAGGTCGTATTTTGTTAGCGCTATGAAGATTGTTGAGCGCGAGCACGTTGATACGTGACTTAAGTGCCACTCTACGCATGCACTGACTGAAGCTGTGCTCACTGACACCCAGTCATCGTTATTCGCCACTTGTGTTAACCAAGTCCTTATAATAAGTTTATTCAATCTAGCAATACTAAGCAATTTCAGAGTGTGGTTAAAGAGTATAAAAAACTGATCTTAGGCTAGCTGGGGTTGATGGTGTCGACATTCTGAGAGACAAATGTGCCTCTCTTTAAAAATACATATTTGTTAAGGCCTTCTCTAGCGACGTTAGTCATTATTTTTCAATGTATCTAGACCATGACGCTTTCCTCATGGATCCGCTTATATTCGATTATGACGGAATTAATCAAGTTCATACTGTTATTTCAATAGGTGATTTCGGTGACATTCTTGGCTTCTGTGCAGTCAAAGCAGCCAAAGACAAAAGAACCTTTGAAATTAAGAATAAATAAAAATACAAGTGGTAATTTATTTGCGAGCATAAAGTGTAAAAAACTAGAAACTTTTTTTGTGATTTAAAGTCTAAAATGGCTGTAGAAATGTTGGAAACCAATTTCTGCCACATTAAGGATAAGCATAATATATACATATATACATATATATATATATTTTTTTTTTTTGCGACACACGTTCTAACTTTGAACGGTAGGTGCTGGTGGGCTTAAACCGTGCACGATAGATTATAGCGCACATTTATATATTTTCTATATTATTTATTTTAAATTACTTGTAATGCTGATATTATACAATGTTTACTTTTTAGCCTACCATCATGCATTGTCGAAACGTCATTATTAGTTTGACACCTGCCTTAGCTTTTTGTGTGGACATTTAAAAAATATACATTGACTTGTTTCACCTGAACAAAAAAATATTTAAACCAAAAAAGATAGAATGAACATCACACATGAGCTTAGAATGAACTAGTGGATTACTTTTCTTGTATTGTCGTAAAAGGTTATATAAAATTAAAATTTAGATCTCAAGGGGTAATTATCTTGAAACCACCACAAGAGGAACCGTGTTAGTTTCAACACTTAAAAAAAAACTCTTTTCACTTTGACACAAAATCCTTATGGTTGCGTGGAATGCATCCTTTTGTAAATTACAAGAACGGTAGCTTTAATTAAACTTATTTAATTTTAAATATACACTGCTCCTTTCAAATCATCTAATCAGTGAAGGTAGGATATATTTCAAATTCAGTAATGCAAAGCTCAGGCCAGTGGTGGAAACTGACAGCTGCGTCTCACGACCACGCAAAAGCGCACGTGCACATATTATTTAAAAATATGGCATGTATGGATCAGTGCAAAGGAGCGCTACACATAAAAATTATTTTATTTTCCAGCCTGTAGCCTGCTTGTAACGGAAGGAACCTTTGAACACCCTCCCACGGAATGCACCGAAGCATTCAGAAGACACTGTGGAGATCCTGCACGCAACTACACCAATATAAGCCAATGTCAACAACACAATAACTACATCCAGTGATTTCCCCACACACTTTCTACGGGAGTGCACCCCCCCCCCCCCCCCCTTGTTTTTCTGAAGGCACCCCTTAATCCGAGACGGCTCGTCTGTTCTCAATGCCCCCCTTAACACCACCTAATTTCAATTCCTGGGGAAACTTCTGATCACATCTAACAAATAGATAACTCATCTGCACACGATGCATATGTTAACATCTAGGCTTTACGAGCTTTATGGCACAATCTAATCGTGCTTGCCTTAAAGTTCACTTGGTATGCTTGGAGCCGGGACTTCACATTAAAACGGGCTGGTGCGCTCGAAATAAACTACTGTAATCAAACTTTTACTTCTTGGTGCAGTCATCCTTTTATTGTGTTTGCTTCTGTCGACTGTGTGTATGGCCGTGTTCCAGCATTTATACGATCCTACTCCAGGGCAAGGGGTTTGTGCCTTGGCGTTCTAAAATCTACCCGCGTCCAGAGTTTTTCAATCTGTGTTGCCACGCGACACAACCCGCCGAAGTAACTCGGATCCAATTGGGTAAGATTTCGAACGCAGCCCAAGTTTTCTACAACGCATACACATTGCGAGTTGTCAAGAATGGAGACGCCGCAGTGTCACCGAAGGGTTACCGTAAGACGCTCCAAGTGGAGGCCAGGCCGAAAGAAACCAACGTGTGCCGCAATGAGAATGTTCTGCCTTCATGGCGCACCGCGGGCGCTTAATTTTCCACTGGTTAGCTAGGCGAGAGCACTGTTTATTTGTTTATTTATTTATTTACCCTGAAGGCCCAAACGGGCATTCCATAGGGGGGAAACGATAGTACAAATTTTAATACAATTGGGTCTAGTGGAGAAAACAAACAAACATTACATAGTTGGCACAAACAATGTGAAACAAGCAATAAACAATATAAATAACAAGGACATGGAATGAAAACATGACACAAAGCAGCACTATATAAGGTGGTACATATTACTTAAAGAACTAATGAACATATCAGGTGAAGTGATTATCACGATTTCTCTGGGTAGGCTGTTCCATTCGGAGGTGGCAAGAACCAGAGGGGAATTCTTGATCAAGTTAGTGCGGGCAAAGATGGGCGATACTTTTAAGTGATAATCTACGCGATTCGAAATGCGATGTGCAGGCTGAATAAATCAGGTTCTAAGCGGGGATGATCCACGATAGAGCTTCTGGAAAAATGGCATGCGAGCAATACATCGTCTGTACTGCAGTTGGGTTAGGTTGAAATTACGTTTTATGTTAGACACCCCGGAAGTACGGGAGAAGTCGCGGGTTATAAATCTTGCAGCTTTATTTTGAAGTGCCTCAATATGGTTGGTTAAGTAAAGTTGATGAGGGCGCCATATGATTGATGCATATATCAAGTGCGACCTGACGAGGGTAGTATAGGCGAGGAGTTTAGTTTCTCGGTTAGCTTGATATCAAGAGCGTTTAAGAAAACTAGGAGTTCTGGAAGCTTTGCGGGTTACATGTTCAATATGAAGGCTCCATGATAAGTTAGCTGTTAAGTGGACGCCGAGGTATTCAATTGACGTAACGTTTTGAATGTGGTCCTCTCCAATTATGTACGTGTGATGAGGGATTTGTAATTTTGTTGTAAAAGTGACAGCTTTAGATTTTAGTGTTTATTTGCATTGACCATGTCGTGCACCATTGCTGGACAATGTGTAGGTCCCGTTGAAGTATTGGAAAATCCACGGTGTTAGAAATGACCCGATAATTGACGCAATCTTCCGCGAAGAGACGTATGGTAGACTGAATGTTAGAGTGAAGGTCATTTGTATATAAATAAACAATACCGGACCGAGGACAGAACCCTGAGGGACGCCAGACTTTATCGGCATAGGGGAGGAGACACACTTGTTAATTACAACAGATTAAAAGAGGTTTGTTTAAGAAACAGTTATCCACTGAATAACAGAGGCGTTTATATTCATAGTTTCTCATTTTTACATTAGACTGTTATGAGGTACTCAATCAAAATCGTTAGCAAAATCAATAAAAATAGCATTGTTAGCACAAGAGGAGTGAACAGAAAGGTGAAGGAGAGTAATCAATTCAAATAGTTGTGTTTCGCAGGAATGACCATGTTGAAACCCATGCTGATTAGAGAAAATAAGGCTGTTTGAAGATAAGTAGGTCATAATCTGTGATGAAAGTATATGTTCTAAGATTTTACATGAAACGGAAGTGAGCTATATAGGTCTGTAGTTATTGAAATCATTTTTATCTCCGGTTTTGAAAACTGGAATAACATGAGGGAGTTTCCAGTCATCAGGTAGTTGACCTTTGGAGAGGGATTGTTGGACGAGCCTACACAGTAGAACTCCAGATATGTGTTTGGTTAATCTTAAAAGCTTAGTAGATATTCCATCGGGACCTGGGCTAGAGTTAGTTTGCAAACGATCATTGGCCCATTCAACTCCGTAACTAGAAATGACAATATCGTTCATTATATTTTCGGTAAGTGAGGAAATAGAAGTAGGATGGTGGAAACACGTTCTCCTCAGTAAAAACACTGGTAAAAAGTATTGAAACCAACAGCTAATTGATGTGAAGTTTTTACTAATCCGTTCGTCACAAATAATACAAGGTAATACTGGAGATCGCTTTGAATTTATTACTTTCCAAAACTTTTTTTGCGTCGGGTCAAACATGTTTGAGAATCGTCACCGAAAAAAGTTGCTCGGCATTTCTTATTTCGTTTTTGCAGAACACTGAGTGAGCATGACAAATGGTCCAATCGTGCTGACTGTGTGAAAGCACGGCACGACTGTACACACGTTTCTTTTTTTCTTTTTTCATAGGTAGCGTTTAATTTTCTTCGTAAACCACGGTTTGTGCGGGCTAGGGGCGATTTTTGTATTGGGTACACATACAGTCTGAGCCTCCAGTAACTTATCCCGAAAGAGGATCCAATTGTCGTTTAGAGGCCGTTCATCAAAACCACTCAGGAACGTACTAGAAAATTCACTTAACATAAATACAAAGTTTCCGTATCAACTCTCTTATAATCAAAAATTTCTTTGCTAATTTGGTCCCGTTTGTTTTCAGCCAGGGCAAACTCGCAGTGGATAATACAATGATCACTAATTTTGTCGATGACTCGTACAGATGCATGCTCGGGATAGGTGGTGAATATTAAATCGAAAACTGCAGTTTCACGTGTATGCGTGGTAATTAATCATATGCTGCATATTAAAGTAGTCGGCCATTTCCAAAAATTTCCGGCACTCATTTTTTTGGGGACTCCATCGGACACTGTACATGCAGCCCAATCAATACCGGGGTAGTTAAAATCGCCCGCTAATAGGAGAGGGCTGTGAGAGAATTTAGAATGAACTTCGTCGACAACTGTAGTTATATTTTCTATAAAGTTGGCTGAGGGGCTAGGGGCCTGTAACACACACCGATTAAACACATCTGAAAAGAGAGTTTGACGGTAATCCATAAAAGTTTAAGAGAGCTATGAAAGGAAAGCTAAGCGGATGGAATGGTGTTTCTGATAGCTGTCATAACTCTGCCTTTCATGGTACCAGTTCGATCATTGCGATAAATAGTAAACGAGTTAGTAAAAGACAGCTCTGAATTCGCAATATTCAAAGTAAGCCAGGTTTCCGTTCCCAAAACAACAGCAGAACAAGAGTCAATACAAGCCATCAAGTCATCTTGCTTCGGCAATGCGGAGGGCAAATTCGCCTGCTTCTTGCGCAGGGGGTAGCGGTGACGTCAGAACGCCGAGCCCTGATTGGCTGACCGCGATCCCCTATCTGAGCGTCGTCTGCTCCTTTGCGACGTCGTCTGCTCGCAACGTCGTCTGCGTTTGTCTTACCTTTCCTGCGACTTTCGAAACTGCGTTCGCTCAGAACCAAGAGTGAGGGTGGTTACTGTCCGCAAGTTCCCTCCCAAATATATTTTTCATCCTTTCGTGTGCGGCGAGATTCCTCACTCTAGCAGCGTCGGCGGGTTGGCGCTGTTGGCGCAGGTAACGTCGTCTGCTTTACGTCTGCTAGTCAAAGCGATGGCTGCTTTACCTTTCCTGCGTCTGTCGAAAATTCACCGCTTTTTCACCGACGAGAACGCGGCCTTCGAAAAAGATTTGTGTTTGTCCTTTGTCCCTCTTGTTCCCCTTCTCCAGGGATTATTTTCGTCATTCTTGTCCAGCTCGCTTGCACCTTTGCATTCAATTACATTATAACAATAATTACTTCTCGGTGTCAATGAGTATACGACATAACTTCCGCGATACGTTCGACGCCGCTCGGGTAGCTCGATCGATCTTGCTCGGATTCTCTTCCACAGATTAGCGCAGGTTTTCCAACTTTTGCCACTTGGTTTACTCCACACATACATGCCACAATATGCTAACTGACAACAGCCTTTTAGTCTAGCGATAAAGTTGTCACAACAAGCAGCGATCGAGCACTTTTGGGCTATGATGTGCTCACACTACCGATCGCACAGCCAGCCGCATTTGTTTATTTACAGTCACTACATCGGCTGTCATCTGTCTTTAGCTGATTATCTTTGAACATCTCATTAAACGCGAGGTACTATCGGGGAAAAATGAAATGCGAACAGAGGAGCGCGTGGCTCGCGGTACAGGCTGCGCCGCCTGGAAGTGAGCCTAGGAGCGAGGGTGCGTGGCCTACTCCGACGTGTTCACGCCTCTCCCTCTGCGCTCCCCGAGCTTCAGCAGTGCGCCTCTTAGTGCCTGAAAGCTTTCACCGCTATCTTTGCTGGCTCAGCGCGAGCGGTGCAAACAAGCTCGCTGCACTCGCCGACCAGGCAAAGATAGCGGTGACGGCTTTCAGCGCACTGAGAGGCGCACTGCCGAAGCTGGGCGAGCGCCAATCGAGGGGAGTGGGCACATCGAAGTAGGCCACGCACCCTCGCCCCTAGGTTCACTTCCAGGCGGCGCAGCCTGTACCGCGAGCCACGCGCTCCTCTGTTCGCATTTCATTTTTCCCCGATAGTACCATTCACAAAACTCG